CGTTAAGTGTTGAGCGGTAAACGTTAGTTCGCTCTCGTCAGGTGTATGTTTTTTTTTCCGTGCATCATTTGTGCGCGAGCGGTGCTCTGCACATTTTCATCTGCTTGTCATTCTCAGCATTATATTCCAAGTTGTTTCTATCAAGTTCATTGCTTCGCTATTGTGGCGAAACTGTGACTTTTCTTAATTTCGGACAACCGTATTGTCATGACTGAGGGAATATAAGACTAGGCGCTGATGGAAACTCTCCGAGACCACGGTAGAGTGTACTAGAAGTGTTGAGTGGTGTGACCGCGCCTCGCGACCTGATCCCTTCCGCGTCGCCCGCAGCGGCGGCGCTGCAGTCGAATAGTACTGAAAGAGCCACGCGTCGCGTGCAGAAATTGCTATGCGCTTTGGCTCCTCCATCGCGATTTCTTGATGCAAATTTCTTCGCACCTGCCCATCATTCATGTCTAGCACATGATGCCATAGGCCTTGAAGTATGACACGCCCATCTATTGAATTTGAGCTCCATAAAAGCCCTTGTGAAAGATCGAAAGTAATTCAAAAAGGGTGTGTCTTATACTGATTTCTTCTGTCCTAACTCTTTGCTTGTTGGTTAAGCGTCTACAATATTCAAAATAACTTAGCTGACTTATTGCAAGTTAGCTGTGCTCAGAAAGCTGTGAGATTAAAAAAGCAAATACTGTGTCACACGCATGCACAACCAGAAAGCCACAAGGAAAGAGGGGAGAGGAAGGGAATCTGAACCCCCTACACCAAGAAATGTTTTGGTAATTTAACGTTTTAGGGTATACTAAAATAGTTACAGGCATTCACAGCGATCACCATAGGCGTTCTGCTGCACACCACACCCCCTCAAAAAAAAAAAAAAAAAGAAATTTTGGGTAGCCCTGCTCAACACTAGTTCAATTCTAATGTAGTCGGACAAGAAATGCACCGCCTAAATATAGTAGCTGTGCTAAGGGGCATTGAATGTGTGTGTGTGTGTTCATGTGTGTGTTTACTGTGTACGTAAACAAGGAAGGTAGATTTCTCAAAACAACATGTACTACTGCCTGCCTACACTTTTGACGCTTATTAATAGAATTACGCCTATAATACAAAACATCGTCATAAACTTGCTCGCTTGCAATGGCTTTACGCCAATGGAATATTTGGAAAGCAGCACAATTTAGGCTGTCGATACAAAATGAGAACTGGTTACAATGAATTTACACAGATTAATAGATGGGCTATATATACAATTGAGAATTTTTAATACTTTGAGTGTTATCTTAATTAAGTTTAATATGTAACAAGCCTTTCGGAAAGCAATAATTATTATCTTCCACAAAACTGGCATGATAAAAAGTCATCGCCAATTAATGTTGTGACAACGTCACTTTCACTCGGGTTTCTCGTGAAACAATCGAGCGCATGTAGGCTCATATGGGGGACACTATGCTCTGGATATCGTAGAGACTGCTGACAAAGTGAGCGCATGATTTAATCATAGTTTTGATACTTCTCTCTTTGTAGTTCGTCAGAAGCCACCTATGATGTAATGCAGCTCAAAGCGCTGATTAAGTATGGAGCTAGGCGGACCCATGCAAATTTCGATTGACATTTTTTTTCCTGGGTCGGCCGGTTCTTGAAACAGTGAATGTATAAACGCGATTTCGGCGTGCCTGCATATTTACTCGTGCACCAAGGCGCGTAGCAGGTGTGTCCACTGATGAAGGCTCAGAAACTCATTAAATGCACTGAAAACGAGCGTCAGTTGCCGTTTATAGGAGCAAAAATATGAAACAGCTTGCTGCCTGAAATAAAGAAAGCCCAAAGTTTTAACACTCCTATAAAAATTCTTTATCTAAGCTTGAATGATGCGAGCTAACTTTGCGATTTTTTGTTTCCTGGCATGTCGCGTTGCAGTCACAGAAATACCATACAAGCTGGATGGTTACTTGATACGTGCGTTTTTCAAAATGCATGCCGCTGTTTTGGATTGTGAATCTCGTTGTGGCCTAGCAACGAATGTTGTATTTGTATTGCATTTGGGAATACGGATACTGGTATTGTTGGCTACTTAATATGTCTCTGAGTTGTCTTGTTTATGTTATTATATACACTTTAGTGATTTGCCTGTGTTGGTGCACCTTTTGACACTATCGCGATTATAGAGTTCATTGTCGTTGGGCACGAAGATTGCATGCTAAAAAATGCTAGTAGTACTTGTACGGTACAGCACCCTGTGTTTTGGAGTGTTAGTTTCTTTTTTATGTAACAGAAAGCCTGCATCACTGAATACATTTTTCTTTTTGGATCCAGGACTAGCCATTGACTACGGGTCGAAGCAGTCTGGTGATCCTTTGTATTGTATGATTCAACAAATAAAAATTCAAAAATTCAAAATTCAATTACATGCTTTCGCAGGCTCGGGCACGCGCGCTCCCAATGCAGACGTTCTCGTGATCTTCAGTACCATGAAACTGCAGCGCCGCCGCTACAGTCACCCGCCGGAGAATCAGCCAAGATGCGGCGCGGCCGCCTCGTTCACTCCACTGCCCCCTTTTAGTACACTGTAACTTTGGTGACGACAGATCTTTGGAGGTCGGCTTGTCACGCGCTTCTGTCTTGCGCCGCGGCGCGACTTCGCAGGCTCGTAGCTTTGGCGGTTAGCCGATTAGTTCTGGCACCAACAGGATGGTGCATTCAATGCAATAATGATTGCCATAGCAAAAAAAAATTAATGTTATAAGAAGTAAGGCTGGCAGCCAGCCACCTCTTTTGGATCCGTTATCGCGGAACTCCTACGAAACGCTAGTGTGAGCAAATACTCCTGGGAGAAGTGCTCTTTTCCCACAGTCCCTTCCCGTTAAAACCGCACTAATACTCGCCGAGATAGAAAGCACGAACACGATCGCGTCCGCCCTTAAAATTCAAGTTCAGTATTGCTACTGACCCCCCCCCCCCCTTCAACCCGCGTTCCATGCTCGTACGAGACGGGTAGTGTACTTTCTGTTTGAGCAATCGCTAGCAGTTCTAACACGCGGGAGATGTTAGCGCTTTTTAGGCGATAAGGGTGAACCGACTTATTTGATCTGTGCTTCAGCAGCGCTCGAGCGCTTTTACCAGCTCGTGAAAGCTAAGATGCGCGGGGGCATGTTATCAATTTGGACTCGTTAGAAACATGGCGGCAACGGCAAAAACCCGCCGAGTGTCCATATAATTGTTATCGCAATAATAACGCAGTTTTTACTGTAAAATAAGTATTTTGGGTTAGTTCTGCTTTCAGTCCCCCTTCTAATTATGTTGCATGTTTATTTTCTGAATTTCGAACCGAACCTGCACATAACGAAATCCTTTTTATAACACATTTTTCCGAGAGTTTCGTTATATACCGGTCCAATTATTAAAAGTGAGGATGCTTTCCCGGTTTTCAAGTTGAAAAATGCTTCTGTGCTGGGGCCTTCTAGAGTGCATGAGGCATCCATGTAGATTATAGATTCTTCATTAGGCATACTTTTAAAGTGTTCAATATGCCGCTGAGTATAGTACGCCCTTCGCTGATTGTCCGAAGCTTGGTTCACAAGTTCTGGAAGCGGCCGATAGTCTGTGCCATACGCTGGGCGATATTGCTGGGCCATATGTCACAGTGCGTATCTTTTGGTAGGTGCTATGTGTAGTAGGTAGCGACCTCTAATTTAGTCCTTAGAATATCTGTTAGATGGCGGTACTTGTTTATAATGAAAAGATGCAAGATGACGGTACTTGGAGCGTTCCCTAGATGAACGGATGGACACACATACAGACGGAAGGACAGGCAGACGACAGACAGAAGAACACGGCCAGCGGACGGACGATTCACAGTTTACCGATAAAACCTTCCGAAGCTTCGTCCTACTTATCATCATTGACTCCGTGGATATGCTGTGATATCTTTTTGTGATCACATTGCGAACAATTACTTTGAACAACATATATCCGATTTTCGAACCATAACGAACGGCGTGGCCGCGAGGCTGATTTGGTCACATTTGATGCGTCACTACTTAATAACGGCCAAAACTATGCAATGTTTCTTTACAAAAAATGGTAGATGATGTCCTTGACTTCAATCAGGCCATTTAAAAATAGCCTTCTGAGAAAAGTATTTTTTAAACAATGGTGTTTTTAGTAAACCACTTACATTTGATCACAATTGTGTACCAAAACAAAGTGCGATAAAAACTTAAAAGTTATTTGGTATGAAAGCGAAAGTATAAGTTAATTACTGAGTTTAATTATCCCGATTGTTTACCAGCAGGAAACTTTGTGCGGTTTGGCATGTTTGTAATTTTTTGCTTTGAAATGTTTCACTAAGTAAAAAAAAACTGTTGCGTCACAACATTCTCCATTACTTGCGCTTCAACAAGAATAGATATCGTAATTGAGAAGCGCTCAGTTTTTTTACTAATATGAGCTCCGATTTGGGAAATCGCGAAATTTACGGAAAAGTGTTTTTCAACGTCTAAAGTTATATATGTATTTTTCAGGCAAACGTTTTTTTTTTTTTACAAGACAATGTTCCATACTACTTTTCCAGCGCTGATGCCAAGGTCTACAGTAAATTTTATTAAAATGAGCAATAATGATTAGGAGATCGTGCTCGATCTTACGAGGACACATTCAGGGGTAGTTAGGCGCCGATAAATAAGTTTGTCGCACAAGGTTATTTGTCGCACAAGGGCGGAAATGAAGCAGCTTTTCCATCCCTACATTAATCACTATGCTATATCGTGTCAGCGGGGTTTTCATTACAGCATCGCAACATTATCACAACTCCGAGTTATTGCAGATATTGCTGCCAGGACAACTGCGCACTGGCCAAGATTACGAGCATTCTTCGTACATTGACAAAGTACCATGCGGTAACAGTTTCTCAACAACCAGTGATTCCTTTTTCAACATTTAGGAAGGTTAATGCAGCTCTCCACCAGCACTGGAAACTCGAGTAATGCCAGTCTGCAAAGACGTTTCACTGGGGGCCATACTCTTGGCCACAAAACAATGCTACATCATTTTTATTGCAGACAAACGAAAACAATCTACTAAGTTAAGCAGCTTAGGGTGCTACTTTTCAGGAGGATGCAACACCCAGCAAAAAGCCACCGGCAAACCCTGTAGCCAGAAATACATTGTCCTTGACGAACTTCTGGGCCTGCAAAGATATTGGGAGAGTGAAGAAGGCAGAACACATTAAGTGAAAGAACTCCTGACCTGCACAGAAAGCAAACACTGGAAAAGCCGCATTCATAAACTCTTTTGTGGCTACAATTACAAGTATACGCTTGCACGGTACTCACTGGATGCCATAAATCATAGCTTTTGCAAGTTGGGAAGTAAGCACTAGGCCATTAATCGGCATTCGGTGCGCTTTGTCGATACTGTGGCAGAAGAAGAATGATGCTAAAACTGCTGCTTGGGTGAGTTAGTTTATAATTAGGATAGATTTACCGGCTTTTCATCATGTCCCCTTTCCGTCGCTTCGATGGGTGCCATGAAAAAGGCCTTGCGTTCAAAGTAATAAATCAGTTGACAGTTCACTGCTGTGTTATCCTTCATAAGTGCTGGGTCTTTTTGCGCTGGTAAATCTATCTTAATTAGGAATGCTGACTGAGCCTTTAATAATGGGTTGGAAGCATTCAACGACCCACACATTACGCAATTTGTGTAGTGCAACACCCGTGGTGTTTATTTTATACTTTGCTATACTACATATGTTAACATAGCTCCTTCTCGACATGACAATGTCTTTTTGCACAAGAGTTTCGAGCACTAACATAGCTCTACTATACATAGAACACCACGGAGACGACCCAAGTTTGAAGCCCATTCTATCTTGGATATTTATTTTTTCTTATTTTTGCTCGATTGTGGCTACGGACAACTACAGCACCAGGAACTGCCCTTGTTATCTAACAATAGCTTTCACTGTAAAACTATTCAGTACAGCCGTGTCCACGTTTGGTATAGCGTGCGTGCCTTGCTTCGGGGGGCGACAACTTGCGGCTGTCACAAGCTTTGATGTGGTGTTACCAGGAGCATGTGCTGACATACTTTGCACAACATCCCAGTGGCAACGTTCAAAGATACTAGCTCACCGAAAATGCACACTCCCTCAGGTCGCTGTAGACATCTCGATTCTAAAAGACGACTCATTTCGATGGATAACATGCGCGTGCTTCGTGCTCAAAACAATGTGCACATTTCCCCGAGCTGTGGCTACACAGGACAAACTGGACGGTTTATTCACAACTGCTTGAGAAAATGATTAATGTGTGTGGCTTAACGCTCCGAAATTACGATATGATTATGGGAGACGGCGTAGTGGAGGGCTACGAAAATTTCTACCACTTCCGGTTCTTTAACGTGCACCCAAATCTAAGCACGCGAGCCTACAGCATTTCCGCCTCCATCGAAAATGTAGCCGCCACAGCTGGGATTTGATCCGGTGACCTGCCGGTAGCAGCCGAGTGATTTAGCCAGAAGACCACCACAGCGGGCTGATCGCTTGAGAAAGCATGCACTGCTAAAGTGATGCAGCACACCTCCTGGCGCATACGTTAAAGGGACCCACAACTGGCCAGATTGCGTGATTAGATTCAGGTGAAAAGGAAAAGAGCGTGCACTATGGTGACAGGTGACAGGATACTCTTGGCGATTTGAGTAGGATTTATATTTTTAAATTGCGTTTAAAAGTAACGAAAACCCGGCATGTCACACCCCTAGCACAAGTGCCATGAACCACAAATATGAAGTCTTAACTTTGCTGTGATTACTTAAAAGTGAACCAGAATAAACGCTTAAATTTTGAATATGTGTAATCATTCATTTTTGTGTTTCTATGCAGGTTACAAGATAAAAGAAGTAGAGCATGAAAATCGGCGTTGCTTTCATGGCCTCTGCAGGGAAATGGGTGCAGCTGTGCATGCACGCGGTGTTTCCGGAGTAGCGATTCCCATCGCGTTGGGCGCGTTGGAAGAAGCACGCAAGCTTGTGAATGCGATCGCTGCGACACGCGAAATGCCATTGACCTACTGCTCTATGGAGAATTTCTTCCACTGATGCGTGCTGCTAGTGGCGGTGATGGTGGCGGTCCGTCGGATTCGTTGCCATTGCTGTCGTCCGTCAAAGCATGTCGCTCTGGCATAACTTGATAAAGGTCCGAATTTCGCGCTCGCATGCGAGCCAATATTCATTCTTTTAACTTCCTCAAGTTGTCAACTGATGACATATCAAAGCCGTCCAACTACAGTCGCACGTGAACCATAGAGAAATATACTATATAAAGAGTGACCACTGGAGCCCTTTCGCGGCCCAGCTAGAAGGGGTCCGACCGACCGCTAGATGGTGTAACCATCTTCGCTTTTACCCCTTTGTTAAGACATGTAATAGCCTCTTCAAGAGGACATCAAATACCCAAGTTTGACATCAAGTTTTCGCGAAAAAGAAATTTATTAATTTGTGCAATTTTGATATCTGCTCTACATCATGTGCCGCTGATGACATTTAATGCCTTACAACAAAAGCAGTAAAGTGTAACTAGAAAGCGTTGTGTTTCTGCATTTGTTTTGCACAAAAAAGCACATTCATGTGGTTCAGATGTGCTGTACATGTATTCCCTTTGTGGAATCATGCATGTGTGGCGTAGTGGTAAAGACACTCGCCTTCGGAGCATGAAGGTAATATTCAAATCCCAGCATTGGAAAGATAACTTTTTGTTACTTTATTTATGCGGAAGAAATTATCGGGTCTGACCAGCCGCTCGTGGCGCTTGGGCCGCAGGGCCCTGTAACAGACCGGACTATCTGCTATCAGCATTCGCCCTAGGCGATATTGTCTCCTCCTCCTCTCCACCGTTTCGTGCGCTTTACTTTCCTTACTTTGCTTTCTTTCCCCCTTCCCCGCTGTGAGCGTGGCTACTTAAGCCCAGCAAATAAACGGCCAGGGGTCTTTCGTCATGGCGAGGCCCAGCCAAGTGTTCATCGTCGTCTTGTCTCTGAGCTAAACGTTACATGGTGTCAGAAGTGGTCCTGACGTTCGAAATGAACCTCGTCAAGCCCCCGGAACCGCTGCAACTGTCCGGCAACATCAGGAAAAACTGGCTGGTATTCAAGCAGAAGCTGCAGCTGTTCATCACCGCTACGGAACCAAAGAAGCCCCGCCCATCGGTCGTAAAAGCAGCGATTCTTCTGAGCACCGCGGGGGACGAGGCACTCGATGTCTACAACAACTTCTCGTTTGCCACAGGTGAGAGCAGAGAAGATTATGACACGTTAGTGCGCAAGTTTGAAGAATATTGTGTCGACCAGGGTAATGAAGTCTACGAAAGGCACATTTTTCGACTGCGAACACAGGAAGAGGCCGAGCCTTTCAGCGGTTCCTACGGGACTTAAAAAAGCGAGCAAAGCTGTGCAACTTCAGTACGCTTGAAGAGTCCATGATCAGGGATCGAGTGGTGTTTGGGAACAAATAATGCGAAACTTCGAGAAAAGCTGCTGAGTGACAAAGACTTAAACTTGCAGAAAGCAGAAGAAATTTGCAAAGCCGCTGAGCTTGCTGCCATTCAGAGCGCAGCATGGTCAAATGAAAGCCTGCACGTTGACTTTACATGCAGCACACACCGCACGAAGTTTGCGAATGGAACTCTGTGTCGAAATTGTAACAAGGTACATGCCCCCGAGCGGTGCCCGGCGTATGAAAAAACTTGTTATACATGCAAAAAACGAAATCACTTCGCCGCATGCTGCAACAATGCGCGCAAGATAAGCGAGGTTCACAAAGCCGAAGAAAGCGATGAAAATTTTGACATCTTGGGCATCAGCATTTGCGGCGCCACCGGAGACATAGGAGCGGATTGGATGGTTCACGGAAAAATAGCCGGTCAGGAGATACAATTCAAGGTAGATACCGGGTCTCAGGCGAATTTGCTGCCCCTAACCCTGTTCAACCGAATCGCCCACGCAAGCACTCCGCGAAAGAGCGCCGCTGTCCTCACCGCATACAACGGCAGTGCAATCAAACACGTTGGCGTGGCGACCGAAGACCTCGAGATAAGCGAAGCACAGCATTCAGTCTCGTTCTTTATCGTGAAAAAGGGGCGCCAAGCCATCCTTGGCTTAAAGACATGCCAGCAGTTTGGTCTGGTACCGGTGACGACGAACGCCGTGAATGTAGGCGATGAGCAAACGAAATTCCGGCTTGCATTTCCTGACCTTTTCAGCGGCACCGGCTGCGTCAAGCGACCCTACAAAATGGTGCTACGAGAGGATGTCGTTCCAGTCGTGCAGCCTGCCCGCAGAGTACCCATAGCGTTGAAAGGACGCCTGCGACAAGAACTGCAACGAATGGAAAAGGCCTCAATCATCGTCAAGGTGGACGAACCAACTGACTGGGTGAGCCCCCTGGTAGTTGTGCACAAGAAGGATGGTACCCTTCGCATTTGCATGGACCCTAGAGCAGTGAACAGGAGCAATAAGTGGGAGCACTATCCTATGCATTAACGAGAGGACATAGAGAGCGAGCTGGCAGGAGCACAATACTTCTCCCGGCTCGACGCTAATGCCGGCTTTCATCAGATTCTTTTAGATGAGGCCACTTCATGAATATGCACTTTTGCGACACCATTTGGGCGGTACCGTTTTTTGCGTCTGCCTTTCGGAATTTCCTCAGCCAGTGAGGTGTTCCAGAAGACTAACAGAGATGTTCGAAGGGCTGCCGGAAGTGCGCGTCTACGTAGACGACGTTTTAATATGGGGCGACTCAAAGAAAGAACACGACGAACGCGTCATTGCAGTGCTAAGGCGGGCGCAAGAGGAAGGGCTGACATTTAATCCAGCTAAATGCGTGTTCTGCACCACGCAGGTTGCATTCCTTGGCGATGTTATCAAAAGAGACGGAATTCATCCTAGTCCCGATTTAATCGAAAGCGTTTGTGCCATGCCAGCCCCAAAAGATAAACAGGGTGTGCGCAGATTACTCGGGGTTGTGAACTACTTTCGAAAGTACCTGCCAGCTTTGAGCGACAAAACGGCGTTGCTGCGTAGCCTGGTGAAAGAAGCATCGGCGTTTGAGTGGACAACAGCCCATCAGCGCGAATGGGACCAGATCTGCGCAGCGCTCGCTAAGCCTCCGTTGCTGGCTCTTTTTGATGAAAAAAGAAACACTAAGATAACTGCGGATGCCTCAGGAATAGGTATCGGCGCTGCCTTATTGCAAAGACACGGGGATGACTGGCGCCCAGTGACCTACGCCTCAAGAGCACTGACGCCGAGTGAAGAGCGATACACCCACATAGAAAAGGAAACACTGGCAATTGTTGTCGCTTGTGAAAAATTTCATCAGTTCGTGTATGGACAAAGCATAACGATAGAAACTGATCACAGGCCATTACTTGCGATTGCTGAAAAGAACATTGCAGATATGCCACCCAGGCTACAGCGGTTTTTCATCCGTCTTATGAAATATGATTTTTTGTTGCAGTTTGTACCTGGTAGGGACCTGTTACTCGCAGACCTGCTGTCTCGTACCGCACTACCAACTGGCGGAGGCGACCAAGTCGAGGACGTGGACGTCCACACAACGCAAGTAGTCACCAGCATCATAAGCAAAGCGACTATGTTGCAGCTGCAGAAGGAAACCCTCGAAGATCCGCTTCTCAGCCGCACCATGAAACAAATGAAAGATGGCATGGCAATAGACGGCGTACTGAAACCGTATGCGGAAGAGCTATTCGTGGTCAATGGAGTGGTGCTAAAGGGTTGCATAGTTGTGGTGCCTAAATCAATGCGTGCGAACATTCTTGAGCGAATTCACGAAGGCCACTTGGGTATGAACAAGTGCAAAGCTAGAGCCCGTAGACTGGTTTTCTGGCCGGGAATGAGCAGTGACATTGAGCAACGAGCGCAAACGTGCAGCGTATGTCGAGAGTACGCATACAGTCAACCGAATGAACCCCTCCTGCTACAGCCAACGCCCGACTGACCGTGGCATCGCGTAGGCATAGACCTATTTACATTCGCTGGAGAACACTACGTAGTTGTGTTTGATGCCCATTCGAACTTTCCTGACGTCGAGAAACACAGAGGTACCACGGCGGGGGAAGTAATCGACAAGATATCTGCTATCTTCTCGCGATACGGCATTCCCAACCAAGTTTGTACCGACAACGGGCCTCAATTTGCATCGCGAGAGTTCGCGTCCTTCGTGCGCCGATATTACTTCAAGCATATCACCTCGAGTCCAGAGTTCCCACGGTCAAATGGTTTAGCTGAAAAGGGGGTACAGATCGTAAAGCGTATTCTAAAGAAAACCCACGAGTCCCGGGGTGATGTATGGCTTGGTCTGTTGGCTTATCGATCTTCTCCCCTTGACAGCGGTCACTCACCCGGAGAACTACTGCAAGGTCGCCGCCTGCACGCCACTCTTCCAGAATACAACGTCGACGGAGGCATACCTGTATGGAAACAGCGACAGTCTTCCCGAGGCAGGCCACTACCACCCTTGGAAGCCGGAAATGTGGTCTGGATCAAACATGGAAGCTGGTCACGCCGAGCGAAAGTGGTACAAGAGACTGCACCACGATCACACGTGGTAAGAACGGAAGACCATGGGCCCCTGAGACGGAACCGACAGCACTTGCTGCGAACGGACGAAAACTTCGACGACAAGGTCAGCCCCTAGGGTAATCCGAACCCCGACGCAAGGCCCCCGACGATGTTCAGTGATGGACACCGCAGCAACAACACGTCCGGACAACCCACTGGGAAGTCACCAGGTGCAACCAGCTCAGCCAGAGAAAGATTATAATGCCACCACTTCTCCAGACACTCCAGGAAGCCCACTGGCTGGCCTGCGCAGGTCAGGATGCCAGCGCAGCGAACCGAAGCGCCTTCACTACGGGCCATCCTTCCATCAAGTAAATGAGTGCAAAAGAAATTAGTGTTTTGAAAGTGTGTGAAGAGAAGATGTAACAGACCGGACTATCTGCTATCAGCATTCGCCCTAGGCGATATTGTCTCCTCCTTCTCTCCACCGTTTCGTGTGCTTTACTTTCCTTCCTTTGCTTTCTTTTCTCCCTTCCCCGCTGTGAGCGCGGCTACTTAAGCCCAGAAAATAAACGGCCAGGGGTCTTTCGTCATGGCGAGGCCCAGCCAAGTGTTCATAGTCGTCTTGTCTCTGAGCTAAACGTTACAGGCCCTACGGGAGTGTCTGCTCTTTATGTAAGTATGTTTCTCTATGCATAAACTACCACGCGTAAATTGTAATTTACATGTGAATGCATCGTTTCGTTTTCAAAGACTTGGCTTAAGTTGAAAAACTACCTGTGCACGGCCAAAAGTACTTGCAGAAGAATCCCCGAGAAAGTGCTGTAACTCCTGTAAAATGATTTTGCACGCTAGAAAGCAGTGGTCGCGGGACTGCAAACTTTACAAACACAACATTACGTGTCTTTACTTAGGCTTTTACTTTTTCATCACTGCTGGTGTTAACTGGCGTATAATCGCCGTAGCGATCACATTCACTGTTTACATCATGTCTCCTTATGACTTCATAATTGCCACAAATAAAAAAATTCTGATTATAAATGCTTTACGGCATCCGCATTACCAATCCGTGATTACATGCTTGGACCGATAAGCTTTTCGTATCACTCAAGAAAACGGGTACCATAAATATTAGTTGTGGGTCCCTTTAAGTAATGGTCGTAAACACATTTGGAGCATGTTAAAATTATTGGCAAGAGCAGAGACCAAACGTCGCGGGAACTACGAAACGCCTCTAATAGATCCCTCGCCTGCGTCGGTGACAAATCGATTGATGGAGCTAGGCATGCTTCAATTGATATTTTGTGTATTATATGACGCAATACAAGTATTGGCAGCACTTGTGTTTTGGCCGACAGTCGGCCTCTTATCGTGTTCCAAAAGACAAGCTTTTGCCTTAATTATTAGAATGTGTACTGCACAAAATGTGCGGTTGACGTGGGCATTTGAATGAGTTCGAAGCCAATTTTCTGCGCCACTTTTTTTAATTGTGAAGCAGTTGTGAATGATGGCTAATGACAGTTTGTCAGTAATCACCAGCGTGACCGCATGGGCAGTGATATTGTGCCAACGGCCGCTGTTCAGCCGGCATCCATAACCACAATGTAACCTGATTGTCAACAATATGTGCATGAATTACCTTCAAACACCCTTGAAGAATAGTATTCTTTTACTTCTGGCCAGGGGAGAAAACATCATACATATTTTGAAAGTCATCCCACCGCTTTTCGTTGCAATTAGTGTGCGAAATTGCGACCTTTGAGCTGTTAGTTGTAGCATGCATATGAAAGCTGCTATGGTGGAATATGCCAACCGCTACAAAACTCTTGTTAACGACGTTGTTTTTGCTCGTGGACGCCATTCATTAGAACTTATAGCAATATACCGCTTCACTGCAAAAGTACAAGCGTGCTTATCACGTGCAAATAAGTCTGCGGCACGCCGCCTGCGCCGGAACATAGCGCCGCATTTTGTCTACTACGCACAGAATGAGTGGCTTCACTGCACAGCCGTTGAACACAATAGGTGGACCTATGCGCAACTCTGTTCCCGTAGGGGGCATATAGAGTAACTATATTGACAAAGTGCAGGTGTGTGTGAAAGCAGAACAATGCTGCTCAAAAGAGAAAGCACCACACAGACGTGGTTCAAAACAACAGATTCAACCGTCCACTTCCCTTTCGAAAAGCGAGGCGAGATCACGCAATCCCACTCTGCAAGTGACAGAGATTGCAGCTGCGCCCGCGCCTACAGTGTTGGGCCTCGTGCCCAATAGTGCAATATGTTTTGTAGAAGAACTTCCGCGCTATTAAGGTGTGACACTTATCTTTGGTCGCTTTTATGTGTGGTAAGTGTTGCAAGTCAAGACGAGCATGTTCAAGTGGTTTTTAGGAGTTCCATTGGCTGTACAAAGCAGCGATTGCATCCATCAGCGTCGATCAGTCAGCGTCAGAGTCAATCGAGGGTCACAGAGGTTTCTTCAGCGCTGATCATTTCATGTAAGTATTGCATTTACATGTTTAGAGTGTTAGCGAAAGTTTGTAGTGAGTATTTGTGTTCTTTATTATATCAATTGTGTAAGAGTACACTATATGCCTGTTTGTGTAAGAATACTTTGTGTAATGCTGTTGCCTGATGGTGCACATGTGTCTGCAGCAAGGCTTGAGATTGAATTCATTTGACACCTAGTCAGTGAAGTATTGAATGAAAATAGGTCTCCATTAAAATGTGACCCCTTTTTATGGGTCAGTCTTTTGAGCATCGTAAATGATGCGATGGTGACCAGTAATAATCGGTAGACAGTTAGAGTAGTTTTCCCACAGGGTAAACTGCACAGGTGCTTGTCAGACAGGGCTAACTAATGGCTATTTTAACGTTCTACTGCTCAATGCAAATGGGTTCACATGTATGCTATTTAGTAAAACTATAGGTTTCCACATTACAGAAGACTAAGAACATTTTGGGTAAAGAATGCTCGGTTGCTGCATGAAAGGCAGAAACTGGGAACTTGAGCACAGTTGGTGTAACTTACACTGCCCTTAACACAGAAAGGTGCAGAAAGGTTGGATCGAAGCAAAATGGCGCAAATGGCACTGTTTTACCACCACTGGTCTCATAGCACAGGCCTCACTTACCTCTTCAAGCAGCCTGGGCAGCTTGCCATCAGTGCGCCGTGCCAACTCATTTTGTGCCTGCTGCAAATCCTTGTTGAGCCTGGACCAGTTCACCTTCACGTAGCCCTGGTGCTGAGCCACCTGCAAACCAGCATCCAAGTTAGAGTAGTGGTAAACAAAATCTGATTGTCTCCCAACTCCACGGTTTGCTCCCCTTTTTTCACTTTGCTTCAGGGCCTTGCTACATGGCGTCGAAACTTGGGCGTGTTTGTCGAAGATTGGAGGGAACACACAATGCAAAGGAAGTGTTGTGTGTGCGCCGCCCTTCTTTGTCCCTGCCTTCCTTTCTTCTACAGCTTGCTACTCGGCAGTCCATTTTCTACACCACAATGAACCAAGCGGCGTTTTCATAAAAAGCAACCTTTGCAAAACTCACAGGTTGGCCCAGTCCTCTATTTTTTCAGTGCCCGTGCGAAAGAGCGAATTTAAATGAGAAACAATCCTCGGCGTTGGCGCGGCGTTTTGCCGCCAGGCACCACCACCGAAGTAGACATGCCGCCGCAGTCATCTCTCGTGCAGACGATTGCCATGGCTGCATTTGAAGCTACAATGCAGTTCGATTGTATTCTCACTGTTAAAGTATAATGGAAATTTGTAAATGAAAATGGTGAAGCACTGGGCACCCAGCTAGTTTCAAAGACACGTTACGTTCACAGCTACTTGATTGAGGCGCTTGCGTATCATCTGCTAGGCCAATAACAAATAGGTCATGCAGTAATCGGCGTAAGATAGTTCTGTGAGAATGACATTCACTTGACTGAGAGTTGCTTGTTTCAATTACTGAAAGTCGAAAGCTTTTACCGGGAGATATCACTGAAAAGCTTGGGTACCTAATGTTCCCTGATGCTTGCTACAGTCTAGTGGTATAGCACATTATACGCAAGCCCGTAGTTCATGTGCTAAATTGTACGAAATGCCACTGGACTGCTTCCAGGGTGATCATTCGTTCCGTTCGCAAAGCTTTTCTGTATTACATGTGTTGCTACCGAGAAAAAGAAAGTGCCAGAGAATGAGGAACTACGCCAGATGATTCCACCATTAGAAAGCTTAAACAATAAAATTGTGGTGAAACAAAAAAAAAAGCTCACAGCTTTGCCGCAAAAGCAAAGCAATGAACGTGACGAAATTCGACCAACTTCACTTGACACGCTGAAGACGCTAAGTGCCACATTCTTTTCAAGACACCCACAACTGAGGGAGTGCTATAGTAATAGACCACTTTGCTTGCACATGTGCAGGCTACACTTGCCATGGAACAAATTGCACGTGTAGACTGAATTATGCAGATCGTTCAATCATTTTGAAAACAGCATTATTCAAGACATTTGCTAGGGTATGGCTTCACTGGCGATATGCTCTGTGCAAAGCTTGCTAAACTATAGCTGTCTATAAGGGTGTTTCAGCAGGAGAGGCAATACAATAGTGCAATAATATATGGTGTTGAACGTCCCACAACTACAATATGATTAAGAAAGATGCCGCAGTGAAAGACTCCAGAAATTTTGATTACCTGGGGTTCCTTATGTGCACCTAAATCTAATAGGCACACGGGCCTCAAACATTTTCGCCTCCATTAAAAAATGCAGCCCCCGCAGTCAATAGCATACTGCATATACTAAGGTATTAATTACTGCTTCGTGTTATTACAAGTACCCCTATGCAAAAACGCCTCGGTGTGTAAGATGATGTAATTTTTCTTTCTTTTTTTTTTCAACTGCTACTGCTCCAACACCACCCCACTTAACATGCACGCCATATCAAGTGATCAACACAAACATTCAGTTTGCTAGTAGTATATAAGGTATTACTGCTTCGTGTTATTAAAAGTACCCCTATGCAAAAACGCCTCGGTGTGTAAGATGATGTGATTTTTCTTTCTTTTTTTTCAACTGCTACAGCACCAACACCACCCCACTTAACATGCATGCCGTATCAAGTGATCAACGCAAGCATTCAGTTTGCTAATAGTATATCAAACATACAGTTCCCGAGAGAAAGTACGTGCCACATAAAGACAGCTTCAAGTCTTTCATAGAAGCCTAATTTGTTCTACCTGAATTCCTTAAAGGGGCCCTGGAACACATTTTGAGCATGGTCAGAAAATGCTGCTGTTCAGTAGTAAAGGCTCCCGAGAACAGGCGAGCCAACTATTATAGTACAGCAGGCGGCCTGCAATTCACAATAATCAAAGTCGGCTAAAAATTACTTTCTCTTGTCTCAACAAGTGACAAAGGAACCTCACAGATCACTTGTAGAAGGCCTTCTATCAGACATTGACTGATTTGAACACGGCACGCTCAGTTGTTACAGGGATTGCTGCAGAAGCCCACAACTTGTCCAGACGTGGGTGTGCGATCACACTGAAAAAGCCGCATATTCGAAGAAAAAAAAATAATAAAAAAGTGCACAAGGTCATGAGCATGATGTATTTATTTTGCCCATGCCATCCCCCTCCTGCTTAGTTTCCAGCACTTTAGTCAGGGTGGGACAAGAGAGAATGCAATTGTATTGTAGCGTACGACAAATCTTTGTAACTCTGCTTCTGGACGGATTCTTAAAATTCTTGTGTCGTTGAATTCGTGAGGCAATGAGCTCTTCAAGCATTCCATGGTTACTTAAAAGAAAGTGTTTCAGGGCCCCTTTAAAGATGGAGTCCTATTCCTTTCTCACAAGAAATAAACTTGTTCACTACTTCCAGCTGTTGTACTCCCTGTGTTCATTGTCACCTTGCAGCACTCATTTGCCTTCGACAACTGGCTTAAAGGGGCCGTGCAACACTTTTTTGAAGTTTCCATAAAAGGGATTTTAAAAAATGAGCTTATTGCCTAACGAACTGACCGCTGCAAAAATTTTTAGGAATTCATCGAGTGCAAGTAGAGTTATGAAGATTTGTCACGCGCTGCAAGTGCTTTCTTTCTTCTCTTGTCTCGACGAAAGCCCTGAAGCTAAGCGGAGAGGGATGGCACGGGGAAAGAACCTCATGCACGCTTTGTGACCTTGAGCGCTTCTATGTTTTTTTTGAAAGCATGACTTCTTGGTGCGATTGTGCTCGCACGGATTCGTTGCGGCCTTTCGTGGCAGCCCCAATAACTCCCAAGCGCACCATGCTCATATCAGCTAATAACATGATACTTGGTCCAGTGACACAATTACTTTTGAGTACATAGCATCATTTGTCGAGACAAGAGACAGCAATATTCAGCTGACTTTGAAAATCTATTGTAAATTCCAGGCCGCTTGCAGCACTACGATAGTGGGCTCATGTGGTCTTGAGAGCATTGACTACCGATAGGCAGCCTTTTCTGACCTTGTTCCAGAAGTGTTGCAGGGCCTCTTTAAAGTATGGTTCAATTTCGTCACAACCACTTGTACAATGTGACAACTCAAGCAAACTCCTTTAAAGAACCTCATCGCAGGCCTAAAGATCATGCATAGTTTGATACCTCAGCCATTCTTTCTGAGCTGGAAACACAGATTGTAGCACGTGCATTCTGTTGTAAATAGAAGAACTCTCAAGCATGAAGACCTTGACGGTAATGCAAAAGGGCACACCTGAAAAAGCAGCAGGCTACCTCCAATGGCAGTGGCAGCAATCTTGCCTGCCTTAGGTGAAGATGAACCCCACACACCTGGGCATTTTAACAACGAAAGATATCTGTTCTCTCTCCAAGCTGCCCAATCACAGAGTGATCAATGAGCACAAAAGCAAATGTTTGAAAACAATGTTGGTGTTGGTGACAATAAAAATTTAGTCACATGTTAATGCCAGAATATGCCTGGCATGAAAAATGCTGTTGTTGCAGAGGTGCCTTGCACAGTCTTCTTTGTTGTACCAGCATAATGAGCTTCACCTTTTTGTCAGTATCAGAAGTGGGCTATCCTATATGTGCACCCATAGCATTCGCCACTTCTTTACCACGCAGCTCCACGAGCGATACTAATGAGAGGTCAATAAATGTTTAGTGGCGTGCTGCCTCTGACAGCTTGTACCCTACCACTGCCATTTGTGTTTAAAGGGACTGCTGAGAAATGAATGACCTCTTGTTCATGCCACTTACGTAGCTGCATGGGCAGTGAGGGACGGAATAAATTGGTGCACATGCCCACTGACATGCCATCGAGAAAGATAAGCAGGCCGACCATTGTCCACTGCTTACACTGTAGGATGTCAAAAAAAAAAAAAAAGCATTGAAACAGCTATGTCAATGATGTAATTTAAAAGTATAAATTCAGCTCCATGACCACGAACAAACAATGAGGTAAGACGCACAAAGTACCTTATGTGTAAAGCTTATGGGAACAAGCTCTTCATTTGAGATGACCCGAAAAACTCCAGAACGCAAGTCCATGGCGATCAAGATACTTCGAAGAATGCCTGACACACTCCACTTCCTATGAAAAGATTGCATGTTCAACCATTCAAACATTAATGCTGGTAGCATTGTTAATAAATCTCAAAATCTTGTATTAGTTATCTTCAGGGCTGGCCAGTATCGAAGATACACGTATCTTAAATACTTTTTGGGTCTCTTGTACCTGTGCCGTGATACACCTCGCAAGACTAGTATCTGTATCCACATTTCCAGTACATTCACTACGATATTGTGCATCTTTCGATAAAAGATACTGCCATGGCATTACTCTCTGAGAAAACTTTGCTTTTCAGGCTGGCACTGGTGCCACTAAGCCACCGGAATAAATCTAATGGCAGTGATATAATTTTATCTTTCCGTCAGGCTCCATGGGTGAGGGCTGGAACTGAGGAGCCTGTGCCCCTTTTGGTAGAGCAGAGCAACACGACACAGCTCACACAGTCTCGACGGAAACAAACATCGAGTGCTTGCCCGCGTGCCCTTTTTTTTTCTCTCAATTTTTAACCTTTTGAGTTTTCAGGGCACGAAATTTACATTTCCCACGAAGCTTTGGTAGCGACAGCAATGCATTTTGAAGACGATAGTGTTTCTTGGGGACCTTCGACGTAAAAATTTTGGTCTGTCTGTCTGTACATTGTCTGTTTGTCCACTCTTAACAACACCGGGTACTTGAAACGGCCGACCCCATCTACAGCGCCAACCAATGTTGGTCAAGGCTGAGCATTCATGCTTGTGCAATTGTCAATTAAAAAGCAATTATTGCGCATGTCTGCGGCACCATAACAACACATATATATTCTGCATGCACGTCTGTTACTAGAAAAGGCATATATAAGATATTTCAAGGACCGTAGCGCTTATCACGCTGCGCTGACCATGCAACGCTTGCACAAAAAGGCGAGAGTGTCCAACGCTTTCCTAAGACGAGACGGAGGTGGCACCTACCCATCGCCTTGCATTCTACACTTTATCACCTCTGACATGGGCGCGCACAACCCGTCTCAGAGCCACGTGCTTTCTAAGAAAACTGCCAGATGGCACTCATGTCTCACGTGTGAAGTGAGTTGATGTGCTTGTTCGCCTCCGTTGCACGCTCGAGGCACTTTAACGCAGCGCCTCCAGAATACCATTCATCGATTTTCTTGCGCAGAACATCAAATAAATATCTTGTTCCTTCTCTCCACACTGCAAGACTATCGTCTTTCGATGACGTTTGCAGATTACATGCAGATACAGGGCAAATTTTTTCATCTTGAAATTCCGTTATACCGCCGTCAGATATTGGTTGTGGTCAACGAACCAATGGGTGCACAGCATTGTACCTTTATATGGTCAGTATTTGAAGTACACTTTAGGCACTTCTATGTCTGCACGCTTTGACGGATGGTGCAAACTGCAAGTGGCCGATGTGGCCAGCATTTCTCACTGAAATTAGCGCACCTGAAAAAATTGACGGCAGATCCATGAGGTGAATGATAATGAGATTGGGCGAAGCTCCTGGAAGTAATACTGTGAAATTTTCTTCCGTTAATTCGCCTGGTGATATGCGCACTTCCTCGCCGCTTCCCATTGACGAACGTTTTCAAGATCTGCTTCGCGACGTTGACGTGCTGCGCCGGCCTTTTGTTCCCATACAGCAGGATCTTGCTGACGCTGCCTTGCTGATGTGGCCTCTCGTTCCCGTACGGAAGGATCTTGCCGACGCAGACGTGCCGCTGCAGCTTCTTGTTTCTGTACGGCGGGATCTTGCTGACGCTGCCTTGCTGATGTGGCTTCTTGTTTCCGTACAGCAGGATCTTGGCGGCGACATCGCGCAGCTTCCTGGCCCGCTTCTGCCTCGCGTGCTCTCACTTCAGGGTCTTGTCTGTGAGCGCGCGCCGCCGCAGCCCTGCGCGCCCACCTTTCAGCATCCTTATCCATACGAGGGCACACCGACGGCAACAAGCATTGGCGACTACAAACCTGTATTGATATGGTTTTGATTATAAAACCATTGCTTTAGAAAACACCTGGCGTCTTTCGTTAAGCAGCTGGCGTCTTCTTTTTGTTTTGCTTTAGAAACATGTGGCGTCTTTTCGTTTTGCTTTTAGAAAATATCTGGCGTCTTTCGTTGGTTTATTTCATCAATCAGCAGCGTTTTGAACAAAAATTTTTTATTGTGTAATCACGCACAGGAGAAATCTCACCAGGCACTACCTTAAAGGTAAACAATGACTGCTACTGGAAATGAGAGACAGCAGAAGTCGGCTTTTAACACTTCTACTTCTACTAACGTTTCCTACTGGAACATGCCAATGGCTGCAAATGGAAAATAAGAGATAGAAGAATTTGTCTTTTAGTTAACGCGCACGGTGCGAATTTGTTTTATTGTTCAACAACGCACAGAAGAAATCTCCCACCGGCACCACCTTGGAGGTCAAAGCGTAAGGCTGGCTGGTTACACACTACTACAACTACAACTACGAGGGACCAACGGGTGCTGCTATAAGCAGGTTCGCCCCTAAAAATTTCGAGGGCTGGCTGGGCATTTTGGCCACCGCGGGCGCAATTTCGTCACACTTCGCGGTTTTGGCACAGCTCGGCACGGTTGGAAAATGTATCAAATTGGCGCAATTGGCGCAGCTATTGCACCCCTGCTTTAGCCGCTTGGGAGCGCTACGTATCACAATACGTGCATTGACGACCGCACAAATTGTGATGCCGCTTTCCAGCGTAGAAGTATAGTAACACTGGTACCAATGCTATATCTAAGAACTGGCTAGTCACCACTAGAGACTTATCGAACTTTTAAACGGGAAATTCCCAACGGTTTATGTTAATACTCAGCTTGGTTCCCTACTGTTTTAGGCCAGGATGGAAGTATTGCAAACCAAGACTTATCGTGCCACATACGAAGAGGTAGACACAGTATGCAGTGTGGCTAGTCTGCACTAGAGACCTATCGAACTTTTAAACGGGAAATTCCCAACGGTTTATGTTAATACTCGGGTTGGTTCCCTACTGTTTTAGGCCAGGATGGAAGTATTGCAAACCAAGACTTATCGTGCCAAATACGAAGAGGTAGACACAGTATGCAGTGTGTGTGGAGAGAGGAAACTGCCGAACGCTTGATAATGTTCTGTGAAAGGCTTCACTCTATAGTTCAGGATGATTACACAAAGTTTTTCAAAGCACTGGGGTTTAAGGACAGGGAGGGCAAAATAGGCTTAAAGAGGGTAGAAATAACTAGAAGAAGGTTCTCTTATTTGTAGGTACCATCAAGGCACGAGTGAAAATTAAATCCTTCACTACAAAGTACCAGTCCTTAACTTCACTATTTAAGAGAAAAAAAAAGATAAACCTAGTTTTTGGCTCACTAAGTATTACGGCTAGGTACCATGAGCCGCCACCCGATCTAAAGGGTACAGCCATATCAATCCATCGATCCATCCATCGCGACTCAAATTTTGATTTAAGTCGCGATGGATGGATGGTCCCTGCTGGCGCTGCTCGCAACTGTTTAGCATAGTTGCAAAACTATGTTTTGACTTTTATTGTGCTGTTATTTTGTGACATAATGGCTTGATTTAACATTATTTCGATCGTCAACGGTACTGACTATCATATCGAAATAAAATGAACAGATACATTACAAAAACGTTTTTTTCCCTCTTTTTTTCAAGGCCAAAGACTGGGTTCATTATGCAAGTGGGTTCATTACTGCCAGTAAGTATGGTATACTGTTGCAATGAGATTACAGTGCACTTTGCTTGTACTTTGAGTTAGTTTTTGAACACAAGTTAGCCCAATAATGCGTTCTCTATCTCTATCAGAGTGACTCCCGGCGGCTATAGCCACCAACACATGACAGGTCTCGGGTGTTTCTGGGGTGCACAAGTTCCTTCACTGAAAAAATATTGATTGCACATTGCATAGAACACAGATAATGAGCAGTTTAGGCCAGTAGATAAGAAGAATATGAGAAGTAATTGCAGCCTTATATGCGCTCTATGTAAGCCTATATACACAATGTGCTGCAATAATCTCTACCAGGGTTGTTGGTGCCGTACACTGTGATTATGCATTAAGAAACAGTCTCTCATGGAGAAAGTCAAACTGCACACCGGTATTTGCAACATCATGTGAAGCTTCTTACAGAAGCTCGTGTACTTAGATGGCAACCCACTAGCTCTTTGGCAAGTGCCGCAACGACTCCCATCAATTACTGAAATGACAAGCAAAAACCATTGTTAGCGAAGTGTCTACAGCACAGTCCTGTTAAGCAACTAAAACAATTCCTAATAAGTTCTCTGGAAGTAAATATACTTTCACCAAGAACAAGGAAACTTTTGAGGAAATGCACATTTCGTTAAAATGAAATTGACCACTTGCAATAAAATGAGCACCCCCTATAGTGAAAAAAAAAAAAAAAAGGCTTTGCTCGTGCTTTGGTTGGGAACATCTTCACCAACTAAGATGCTCAAGGCAGTGTTTGGCGATTCACGTGCGCTTGTTTTTTGCCTTAGTGCTGAAAACACATGCATATTATTAAAGAAACAACATTGTTAAGGAGAAACACATTCGATTTACATTTGTCTAAACAGTGTAGAACGAGGTTTTCTAGCGTTTCAGCATGAGCAATGACCAAGTGAAGTAATACTTGCACTCTGTTACCTCAATTGTTCGCCAGGCTCAATGTGCCTGCTCCATCAAGGAAGAACACCACGTTACACACTTGAAGTTGACACTTGAAATGTTCCACAAAAAACTAGGTTCGGTGAGGGCGGCTTGATCACTGTCTGTGAGGTCTGGTGATTACGCGAAAACGGAAGGCTTTGTCGTTACTGTGGGTCACATCGTTGGAACACACTGCCATTGTGTTGCCAAGGTAGATACATGGTGTTGCTGAGAGAGATAACTTTTATGTATAGCTAGAGCGTACTGCAAGTATTTCTAATACACCCTAATATAAGCATCTCCATTTAAAATCACCAAAGCATCAAATTACAATGTAAATAAATGTGCGTTATGTGCTCGTAAGTATAAAAATATTAGAGGCAGTATGCTCTTTTCTAATATGCAACATTACGCTTTCTTCACGAGACAGGAGTTTCTCCTACTGGACATGAAGCGGCTATGCATCCAGCTCCTACTGTTATGATTATAAAGATTACTCCTGGCTTATATCTGAATCATGATTCGTGCAAATGCGCGAGAACACATTCTCGCGTACGAACGGCAGTATTGTGCGATCTATTAGAAGTGGTGATACACAAGAAACTGTGTGCTGCAGTTCTACGCTATATTGATTCAAGAATGTTAGTTCGGCAGCAACGCCGAGCCGCGTGCACGAAACTCCTCTGTTTCGATAAAGGTTTTCTCCTATTCCGTCAACATACCACATGCCGTGATCCTAGCATCTTTATTTCCTGCATGTAGCTTCGCGGAGGGGAGCCTGACCAAGTTATCTCTCATTTTTTCTCGGTTTAGATGTGAGAAAAACCAGCGAAAACTCATGTAAGGACGAAGAAGGCACAATCAATAGCACAACTATCACTGGCGATTTTCGTAAGGTTTTCTTGAAGCTAAACATTAACTATCCGACTCCGCTCTTCCCGCTTTTTTTCTCGCTTAAATATTCGCGTAGTGTGCGTGGGCCTGCTGACACCCTCCTGTGAAGTTTTTTGCGACGCGTGGTGCACATGTCTCGTGCAGAAGCCATATTTCGGGGTCACAACTGTTGGGAAGTAAGAGGCGTTGTGTTCGAGAGCGTTGATCACCACTATCATCATCATGGTTAGATCGGTAGCGCCGGCGGTGACCCCTGGCAGCAAGCCTTGATGTGGCACGAGAGAGTTCAGCGAGTCTCCATTTGACTGGTGGCATTGGGCGCGAACGGTTGTCTCTCCCAACGATACAACGGTGCACAGCACCGCAGGCCGTCTGACGGGAGTCCTTGTGAAGAGTCAGGTGTTGGCTACACTACCTTGTTTGTCATGTTGCTGAGTGTTGTGTGATATTGTGTAAGGTTGTTCAGGGTGTGGATCACAATTATGTTAAAATAATTCGGCTGATGATATCGTCGTTCTAAATGTAGCTAAACAAATGTGCGTTTGTCTTGGTTCGTTCCGACCGCATTTGCCGTCTTCGTTCACTCCAAGAGCGTGACGGCGCTCCCCACATCGAGACTCCATATGTGCTGGCATATTTCCCCAAACTATGAAAGCAAGGCCATTCAACCATGACACACAAAAACACGACCAGCGACTGGCTGGGCTCATGTTTTTCAAACAAAACAAAAATGCCTCTAGAGGGCGCTACCTGTGCCGTTACTGCAAACATTAAGAGAGGCAGCGAGCAAAGTAATAATAAACGATGAAGCCCCCAATGAGTGGAAATTAAGCGGAATGAGCATGATCTATAAAGGAAAGGGGGACAAAGCTAATATAAACAACTACTGTCCTATAACAATGACATCAGTAGTTTACAGGCTGGTGATGCAGATAGTAAAAAAAAAAAAAAGACTACAGAAATGGGTGGAGAATTAGGGGGTGCTGGGAGAACTAGAAAATGGGTTCTGTAAACAAAGGGGGTTGGAGGACCATCCGTTTTCATTGATGCAGTGTATTGAAACAGTGGAAAAAGAACACAGGCCCTTGTGGCTGGCATTTCTAGATATAAAGGGAGCATACGATAGTGTGATTAAAGAAGACTTGTGGAGAATACTGGACACACTAGATGTGGAAGATGGAATACCTAATCTTCTAAAGGATATCTATGAAAGTAATAAGGTCAGGGTGTCTACCAATATGCTTTTTAAAACTTCACTTACTTTTCCAGGTGTTCCATGATGATTTGAAGCAAATTCCATGACCCTTACGCCTGCTGCTTGGAAAACTCTGAGCGCTAGAAACAGACCTTCGTGTGATAAAAAAAACCAGGCACTCATATAAAAGTAAATAAATGAACAACAAGTACTCTGACTGTTCTGAGCATGTGCGGTAAACATGAAGGAAAACATATCTGGCCAAAATGAAACCTCTGAGTGAGAGAGTAAGCAAGTTGGCTGTTTATTGTTTGGAAGAACCAGAAAGCAAACGTACGAGTTAAAATTAACTGCATCTAAAAGCTTAAAGGAGACCACGACAGTCCTACAATGCAGCTAAAGCAGCTAAAAAACATAGAAGTGGCACCATCTCGTGGCCTCTGTATAAATACACAGGAGGACGCCAGAGCACGGTCGATTCCGCCACTGGAATATATTCTAGTTCACTTTAATGGTTACAGCCCAGGCAGTTTATAGGATGTGGATTGCACTAAATTGAACTGTATTTACTATTTAGGATGTGGGTTGGATTGGATCTGAAGCGACATGGATTGCTGTGTTTACTATTGATTTGCATTCGTACCTAAATACCTTTTGTACATACTTTTCAGGAAAAAAAAAAAACACTACTACTTGCATATTCTGTGCACCTTGCAATGAAGAATGATTAACAATGTCACAAGAACGGAGCGTTACTGCATAATTCTCTTTCTTTCATTGTTTTATTTTCTACAACGAGCACAGACATGTTGATGTTTTATTTCTCTGGGCTCTGATGCTTAGAGTTCGACAAAGTCCTCAGATGCCTGCAATGAAAGCTAAGGGTAGTGTTTAAAGCAATGACGTTTGAACATGTGCTGGCAAAAAGAATCTGTCAGGGTGCAACAACTCCCTCGATTCCATAGATTTATCACAGATGCTGGCGGGTTACCTTCGTTTGTGTACTCTTCTAAGAATATAAGGCTAAAAGGTAATCACAGATTTAATAATACCATCTCAAGAAGCTGAAACGAAAAATTTAGATGAAGTTACCGAACTCTACCCTTGAAACACGAGATGCCAGCAATAAGTGTGTAGCTGAGGACATCTGGCGTTGCATCGCTCATAATAATGATGATAGTAATAATACTAATCATAACAATAAAAGGCATGACATAGCCCGGCAATCTTCTGCTAATGGCAGTCCTAGTCGAACCAAAAGGCCTTCAAGCAGAGCCAAATCATAGTCAAGACAAACATGCACAAATTTACTAATGTGAATGATTTTGTGGTTGGAAAGTCGGATATGCTGCATGATATATAGAAGCACCAGACATCAACAAAGGGTGTGTACGAATATGGAAGCTAGGAAACGTTTTAGACCATTGTTGCTAGAATAGGTTCAGTATACAAACTGTGCCGCATTGCGCAGAACCACCACCGCTTCCCCTTCGACTGGCGCTGCAGTCGCATCAGGATCCACTCCCAACCGGGCTCGCCCATGCGCCCGTGCTTTGTCCCCCATTATTGTCTCTGCGACGTGTATTTTTTCTTCGGTTGCCATGTGTTTGTAAATTTTCTGGTGCTCCATAGCTCTGTAGCTGGCGCAGTGACTGCGACTCCAATAAAGTGTTGTGTGTGCATCTAAGCTGACCAAGTCATGCCGACGTGTTGTGTGCCTGGTTGTACGTGCGGGTACCGGAACGACACAAGCCGGACGGTCTGGCATTTTGTTGCGGCTCCGAGCAATGACAAACAACTTTCGGCGTGGAATCGGGCCATACCCCCCGCCGACAAGGACATCACAACCAAGTCCAGAGTATGCTCTTTGCATTGTCATGACCAGGACATTCAGAAAACGTATGTGCACGTGATAAATTGAGAAACTGTCGAAATTTCAAGGGGTAAGTGTGGTCTCGTTGACGGTGCGCTGCCGAAAATCTTCGCTAACTTGCCCTCATATTCATCGAAGCCAGTGGAGAAAAGACGAAAACGAAAGTGAGAAAGCAATGGGGCCACCAACCTTGAAACTGCATCACCACCGCAATCCAAGCAAGCTTCTTACAGCACAACTTCTGCTGATGCCCTGGAAGACGATATGCCCGAGCTGTCCGCGCCATCGTTTAACGAAACAGAATGTGCAGAGCTGCCACCATTATGGCAAACAATCACCATAGAGAAAGACAGCAGTAAATTTGCAGCATTTTTCACCCTGAAGTGTGAATGTAAGACGCTGCAAATCGAGAAATGTGTTGTTGTGGGCAGCGACAGAGTGGCAACCGCAAGTGTAAGAGGCCGCGAGGCGAAGGCTTTCATGAATGTGAACATTGAGACTATGCGGGACCTTAGTGACCTCGCGAGCAATGTGCACAAGCTTCATGCATGCTCCGGATACGATGTACAAGGCAACAGCTACATGTCACTCAGATGCCAGGTACTTTCCAAGCAGCCAGTGTGTTCGTTCTGTCATACTGAAAGAAACAGGCTTTTGAAAAAATCTCAAAAGCAAAAAAGGCCCGCCTGGAGACAAAAAATGTGAAGAACTTGCAAAAAAAAAAAGAAATCAGGGCCACAGCTTCAAAGGTGTCATTCATAAAGAATACTATTGCACAACTAAAAGAGGAGCTGAAAAGTGAAATTTCTGCATAAGAAAGTAAACATTTAACGTCGCTTTCACCCCTTCAACAGCTGGCATTCAAGATGTCGTTGAAACAAATGGCAGCAAAGGGTCCACTAGGAGCAGGGTACTGAACTGCCTTCTTTACATTACAAGCCTGAAAGCCTACAAGCTGACCTTCTGGATCAACTTCCTTCTTGTACCAACCTGCGGCTGACTTGACCAAGTACTTTCAGGTGTACTGTGCGAGGACGGTAACAACCTTGTGGTCCTGCAAGCGCTCGAGGCATTTTTCGCAGACAAGCGTGATGTTGAAAGTATGGCGCACTCGGGCTTGATGAAATCAAACTCAGGGAGGGAGTCGAGATCAATAAGTCAACATACAAATTTGACGGCTTCGTAGAGTTCGAAAGCACAGGAGAGCAAAGCAAGGCTATCTTGGATGACAACGCCCTTGTAATTATGTTTATCCCTCTATTTCATAATTGGGTTCAGCTAATCACAAGCTTTGCAACAAGAGGTGCAGTTTCTGGTGTTGTGTTGGCCAAGATTGTTGTCGAGTCAGTGCAGCAGCTTGAGCGTTATAATTGCATCAGCTCTGGCTGTTGTGAGTGATGGTGCGGGAAACAACCGATCAATGTGGACGCATCTTGGAATATCGGAAAAGCTGCATGAGCCTGTGAACAAGATTCCATATCCTACATTTGAGGATGGACACTTTCTTAGTTTCCTGTGTGATGTGCCCCACATCGTAAAGTGTGTGAGAAACCATCTCCTGGCGCACACATATGCTATGGTAATTGAAATAATATTGCATTAATAGTTGCTGATTAAATAATTTGGAAATAACATGTGTGAAACTTGGTTTTGTATGTTATCCCATTGCTTTTTCTACCAGGCTGGTTCCAACAGCATCAATTTTAAGCACTACGAGCACCTGTATGATGCTGAAAAGGACAGCCATCTAAAGATCGTTCCGAAATTGACCTCCTCCCACGTCAAGCCAAGCAAGCTGGAGAAAATGAGCGTTAGACTAGCAGCACAAGTACGTTACCAATGTCATCCCTATAGCTTAAATTCTCTGTGGCGTTTTTTTTTCTTCTTTATTTTGTTGGTATTAGGAATGCAAATACTTGACTTCTTAAAATATTTTTTCCAATTGCTCAGCAGGAGTCTCGCCATTGGGCTCAAGTTTTACAGGAAGCAGCGTGCACCAGGCTTTTAGGACAGTGAACGAATGGAAAATTTCACAATGCAACTGATGACCTGTTCGATGCTCTCAACGCCAAACTCCCTGCTGCTGGCATCACTAAAAACTCTACGAAAATTCAGGTAACGGGCATTCATTTGCTTGTGGTTTGCGGCGTCAAGCTGCGAGCCAAATATATTCATAGAGGCAATCGTTTCCCATGCTACAGGTGATAAAAGACTTCCTCATCACGCTGAACACGACCGAAAAGAACAGGTATTGAGAGAAACACAAAAGTCTGCGTCTCAGCTGACGACAAAATCCCTCCGAGTGACATTGATGTCGGTGCTGGATATAATCACCCTCCTGCATCACAAGGACGTGATATGCTGTGCTGACTGCAAAACTCATCCAGAACCCATTGGAAGTAGTTATTTCAGGTTAATCTGGATTTAGTCTGTGACTGCCTAGCTTTGCAATTTACATTTACAAATGTTTACTTTTTCTCTACTCAGCACTTTTTTGGAGTTGTGAGGTCGTTTAGCGGTGATGAAGATCACCCTACAATAGGACACTTCGGCCAAATATTTAGGCTTCCGAGTCTCTACAATTCCTTGAATATGGCGACAAAAGGAAATGTGCTGGCAATGCAGATCCCGTTCTTGTCAGCATAGAAGAGAGCTTAGGCTCGAAAAGGCTTGAAGTTCTTCAGCAAAAAAAGAAACAAGAGGACAAGCTTGCATAGCTCACCCACACAATTGAGTTGGAGAAATTTGCCAGAAGAGGACCAGAACCAGCACAGTTATGACCGACCCACTGCAACTGATGCTGCCCTGTACTACCTAGCAGGATACGTAGTAAAGAAAGCAGGAAAGTTTTCCAGCTTCCATGACTGTAGGGCCACTCTTCTTGCCATGGATGGTGTAACACTTGCAGCCATTTTGACAGAGATGCGCTCCTTTGTGCCGGGTGCCCTCCAGCTGCCTTTCGAAAGCTTTGACAGCACTGCTTACGTGCATTGAGAAGGCTATAGCTGTAAGAACCAAGTCAAACGTAGTGTTTGGAGACTTGTTTTGGTGCATTATTGAAGACTTGACCAAAGCAGCAGCCTTGTAGAGGTTGTGTGTTCTAGCCATTCTGAGGAGCTCTCTGCATGTATTTCAAAATTTTATTTAGCAACTCAGATGCATTTCTATGTAAAGTTTCTACGGAACACAGAGACTCGAGTGTGCAAGTTAAAGTTGCAGAAAGCGTGCAAAGCTTTTGTAGGGATTGGATAAAGCAATGGTGTCTGAGGATTTATGTGTTGATTGCTATACCATTGCAGTGGACATATGTACCGGCCATTACTTTAGATTTGTGGAGTGCAAACTTGAGTTTACAGAAAAATCAGAGGACAACCAGTGCATTTATCCTTTATTTTGTGGCAGTGTTAGTAGGAAGCAGTGAATACACCTGAATAAACTGATGAATGAAATCCCTGTTGCTTTGTTATTTTCGAATTCATGTGGAAACACTAGCAAGTGCCGCGGGCAAGATTTGCCCGCCGAGTTAGCATGAAGCAACATTTACATTGAAAAGGGGTGCTCACAAGCACGGAAGCCACGGGCGTTAGTTGCGACGCGCCTGCGTTTCTGCGCGAGTCGTTTGTGTTCATCGTATTCGGTGAATACAATTGTATTCGGCGCAATCGAGGGAGGTGAGGGGAAGAATCAAATTTTGGCCCGAAATTTTCAATGATTGCTTGCGCATATATGCACGCATGAACACTGATGACTGCTGAACAAGTTGACCCCCTCCCCCTTTCTGAAAAAGTTTCTGACTACGCCCGTGGTTTGTATAGAAATACAAATTCAAAGTGTTTTGTAAATGACTCTCCCCATAACCTTAGGCAAATTGCAACAAAGCACTGGCATGTGGGAAAGCAGTGAACAACGTTACTAAAAGATAGCGAAACCAAGCACCAATGCCTAACGCCTCATGTTTCGGGAGCTGTGGACTCGAGACTGTAGAGCATGATGCGTTCGCATACTTTGAAGCAAGTACATTGATTGATTGATTGATTGATTGATTGATTTGTGGGGTTTAACATCCTAAAACCACCATATGATTATGAGAGACGCCGTAGTGGAGGGCTCCTGAAATTTTGACCACCTGGGGTTCCTTATTTGGAGCAAGTACAGAAGCACCAGTGGTTGAGATAAGTTGCAGCGATGTAAGTAAAGTTTCCCCCCCCCGGTTAAATGTGAATACACGTGAACATTGAGTGCCCGACTACAGCCTTGCGAGCGGCGAGGATGGATCTCGATGGAACGCTTTCGCCATCTACTCGTCAAACCAAAAACGGAGAAACAAGCAAAGCACTGCGCCGGCGGAGAGTTTGTAAACTGAACCTAGTCTAGTAACGTTGCTTTATTGAGCCCACATATTTCGCTTGAAACGAACAATATCCGCGTTACCGTGAAAATATACATTGTTCCAATGGCACAAAATCGCACTTACAACGAACATCTCTAAGCTCTGCCGATCGGTTACAGCGAACGGAGTCACAGTCTGCAACTTCCCGGGAAACCACTTTCGACCACCCATTAGGCATCGGCAAGGTGCCCATAGATTCTTATGGTGAATTCCATTGAGACAGCAGGAGTAGAGGGGCAGGGCACTGAGGAGTGGAGGGCAGAGCACTGGGAGCAGGGCCACTCAACCTGTCACTGGAATGCACTGCGCTCCCAGAGGGCAGGTGAGAAGGTGACGAGTAGGGAGACCATGTGACTGAAACATTCCAAGCCCCGGCATTTTCTTTGTGGGGAAGCAGCAAAATACGCCTGAAATCAGTCAGCTACATATTCTTCAACACTGTCGAAATTTGGGCTTGTTGGTGCATTGTGACGACAGAAAATACCGTGACGGAAAACCCAAAGGTTGTAGTAAGAAGCATCGAACTGTTTATGTTCCCTGTATCATATGCGTTGTTTATCGTATCCCGCTTTCTTGTGGTAAAGAGTATATTGGACAGACGGGCCGTTGTTTAATGATCGATTAAGAGAACATTGTAATAATGTGAAAAACGGCCAGGGAAGTTGGTTGGCCATACATTGTAAATCCTGCGGCTGTGCGCCGATATTCAATGCATGCACTGTTATCAAGAGAATGTTTGACAAGCTAGCTAGAGAGATTATTGAGGCTGAGGCTATCGCTTCACTGGGGTCTAAGTGCGTCAGCACTCCCTCTCTTACGCTCAGTGATAAAGAATTGTATTTTCTAAGAAATTAATTTTTTGTGCG